TGAATGGGGCCATGTATCGTGAGATTTTGAGTGAAAACCTCCTTCCATCAGCAAGGGCATTGAAGATGAAACGTGGCTGGGTCTTTCAGCATGACAATGATCCCAAACACACCGCCAACGAAGGAGTGGTTTCGTAAGAAGCATTTCAAGGTCCTGGAGTGGCCTAGCCAGTCTCCAGATCTCAACCCCATAGAAAATCTTTGGAGGGAGTTGAAAGTTCATGTTGCCCAGTGACAGCCCCAAAACATCACTGCTCTAGAGGAGATCTGCATGGAGGAATGGGCCAAAATACCAGCAACAGTGTGTGAAAACCTTGTGAAGACTTACAGAAAACGTTTGACCTGTGTCATTGCCAACAAAGGGTATATAACAAAGTATTGAGAAACTTTTGTTATTGACCAAATACTTATTTTCCACCATAATTTGCAAATAAATTCATTAAAAATCCTACAATGTGATTTTCTGGATTTATTTTTATCATTTTGTCTGTCATAGTTGACGTGTACCTATTATGAAAATTACAGGCCTCTCTCATCTTTTTAAGTGGGAGAACTTGCACAATTGGTGGCTGACTAAATAGTTTTTTTCCCCACTGTAAGGGCTGATTTTTGCAACAAATCTAGACAACAGGCAAAAGTATAGTGATAAACTTCATCCTCATAATTTCTTTGGATAGCTAGGTCTAGGCTATATCAGATCAACCTCCCCTATCAGTGGAGGGATACGAGCCTCCCCTCACTCCATACAGTAAAGTAGAATGTAGCTAGGAATAGCAAATATTAGTTGGCCGTAAAGGTGCTCTATAGTACAACTCCTGATACTGAAACCAACATTTGCCTAAGAGCACGATATTCGTTTTGTTCTGGGCATTGTGTTTTGTGCCATGTTGCGGCAAAGCTGCCTTGCAAAAACAACTTGTTTTTGTTCAGAGTAATAGGGTCGTTCCAGCAATTTGGTGCCTTTTGAGAAGTGTAACTTGGTAAAAATAATTAATAAAGTTTGATTTCACCTAATTTTCTAATTCTTTCATAAAGAGCACATGTTGAACTTAATAAAAAAACACGTTTTCCCATCTCAAGTGGTTAAATTTAAAAAACGACTAGTGTAAAGTGCCTATTAAGTGCCAAATAGACCTAAAGTAACAGGGTTGACCATAACAGGGTTGATGATTTCATCTTAAATCAGTCATAATAAATCCTCTTGTGACATGGAGAATGGAAGCTTGTTGTGTGCAACAGGGAGCGGCAATTGACCGTTCTTTCAGCCCCTCCACAAAATGTTGGGCAACCAATCACAGTGCTCCAATGGATAACAACTGTCATCCAGTCTGACACCTTGGACAAACTCATGTTTAAATCGCATGAAAGCCAGTGAGGGCTATGGTAAAACTGAGTTTTCTTCAAAAAATGTATGTTTAAATGGCTAAATAATTTAACAGTGCGCCAGGAGTCCTTGCTACTGTGAAATGCAAAGCCTGTTGGTGGAGTATTTTTTTTGGAATCCAAAATTATACTTGTTTTACATTGTTTGCTAGCTGCTTAGCTAGCTCTCAGTCATTTCACCACCAAACGTTGCTAACGCTAGCTAACTAGCCACTTAATATAACTTGTTTTCTCAAAATGTATGTTAGCTAGCTAAGTTAGCAATGTTATGAATAGAACTCCCATCTGCTGTCGACATCAGGATACAATCTGAGAGCACGAGTTAGCTCCAAAAGTGGTTATAGCTTTGACTGCATGCTGACAGTGAATTTAGAGCCATTCCATGGCTAGTTACACTACAAACATAATTTTACCAGGTTCCCGTGAAGCAGTTGTAATAACAGTCCACCACAACATAACCAAGAGTTTCCTGATTATCAAGCGGTAGTCTGTGTTTAATTTAATTGTGTATTAGAAACACAGTTTGAGGTCATTGTGAGGGGATTTCACCAGTGGTTGAATGGAGAATTGACAATTTGCTAAGCCCCGCCCCCTTGTTATTTTCCTGGGAAGCATTTTCCACCCAAACAAACCACAGATGGAAACCCCATCACAATGATCTCAAACTGTGTTTTTAATACACAATTAAATTAAACACAGACTACCCCTTGCTAATCAGGAAACTACCGGGTATGTTGTGGTGGACTGTCATTACAATTGCTTCACGGGAACCACCTGGTAAAACCATGTTTGTAGTGCAGCTAGCCAATGAAGTCAGCATGCAGTCAAAGCTACTGGACACTTTTGGAGCTAACTAGTGCTCTCAAATTGTATCCTGATGTCGACAGCAGATGGGAGTTGTATTAATAACGTGGCTAACTTAGCTAGCTAACATACATTTTGAGAAAACAAGTTATAGTAAGTGGCTCGCTAGCTAGCGTTAGCAACGCTTGGTGGCCAATGAGACTGAGAGACAAATACTCCATCAACAGGCTCTGCATTTCAGGAATCACAGTAGCAAGTACCTCTGGTGCACTGTTAAATTATTTAGCTATTTAAACAATGTATTTTTGGGAGAGAAAAAACTCAGTTTTGCCCACTGCCAAACGTGAGCATGTGTCAGACTCGACAAACTGTTGCTATCCATTAGAGCGCTGCGATTGGTTGCCCAATATTCTGGGGCGGGGTTTAGCGAAGGGTCTATTGGACTTCCTGGGAAAACGTTGTCCAAGGTTGCGACAGTAACCAAGGGGGCGGGGCTTAGCGAAGGGTCATTTGAATGCAAGCTTCACAACAAAAAATATAATTTATAAAACATTTCTAGCCTGTCTATCAATGGGTAACAGGATTGACATATTATGCTCTATCTGCACAGTTTTCAACCAAAAAACACTAGAAAATGGCCAAAAGGAGTAGAATCAGCTCACCTGCTTTTACACTTTGATTTGACCATTAGATGTTCAATGTTTATTTTCAAAATAATATTTAAAAACGAATAGTTTCACCATATTAAATCGAGAGTTCAGTTCACATAACAGGGTTGACCTTAAAATGAGGGACGGACATAAATTAATCACTAATCACATGATATAAATAATTATCTTAAAAAATTACTTTGTCAAAGCAACAAAATATCTAGCGCTTTACAATGATGGTGACAACTTGGAGAAATATTGGGGTTAAGTGGGTTAAAATCCTTCTAGAATTCACAAAGGGTGCATGGAGGGTCATTTTAAAACGCTGAATTTTGGCACTTTAGCGAGTCTTTATTCATATAGAAAATTCTGATTGATTGAATCCTGCATGTGGTCTATAGTAAATGGCACTACATTTAATATAACAGGTTTTTTAAATGCAATATTGGTGCACAATTACTACTTAAAACATCAAAGGGACGCAAAAGGCACTATTTTCTTGCAACGACCCAATACCCTAATGAATTAACGTGATGCTATCTCTTTTCAGTTTGAGCAATTTCTTCTTTGGTATAGGCTATCCTGCCGGCATACTGCTCTGAAGTTTGTTTTCACACCTCTGGAACAACTGATAACTAGAACAACTTTACAAAACTTTGAATAGTCTGAGTTCACAAATGACAGACCTATTTCAATGCTGAAGGTTATGCACCTCTGACATCGAGTAGGCTAAGCAAAAGTCTACTATAGCTTAAACTTAAATGTATATTTTCAGCAATGATATAGTCATAATTTATATGAAAATTATTGAGACTGGTGAAATTGAAATGAGGATTCTTTATTTAGTTATTTTCCTAAATCTATACGCTATAAATCCAAAGTATTGACCCTCCTTGTCTGTTAACTTCGTTCCAAAAAAGCGCCTACTTTTTTTATTATTAGACTGGCCATTATTTTGTGCACGATAAATCCGATTTAGGACTAATGTTTTGTAGTTTTGTTTTTTTACAGAAACGGTTTGTCAAAAATCACAAGCTGTCAGAAATTATGCAAAATGTGCCGTCCATCCAACTGTTTTGGGACTGTTTTACTTATTTGGTTTCATAGCAGCCTAGTCTACCTGTCCTTCTGGAGAATCTTTTCGCGTTCCAAATTGTAAGAAGTGATTGCATAAATAAAGACAAGGAAGTCTCATATTATGTTCTCAGCTGTCACTTATTCTATTAATTTCATATTTGAGAATATGGACCTTCAAATGATGACCCTATATGGACGCAATATCAGCATGCCACTTCTACTTCCCTTGAAATGTCAATGTCCCCACTTGTTGGTCTTTTGGTTTAGTAGGCCAGTCGCTATATATGAGAAATTAATAAACAATGTAAACGTTTTGTCCATTATTCTGAGTCCAAGACTGTTCCGCCTTCTTTTAGGAAACTGCTAGTGTGAGTTCCCCATTTTCTTGCAAAACAAATCCAAATAAAGTATCCTACCTCAATGAAAAACTAGCCTACACTTTTAGAAAAAAAGGTTCTGTATAGAACCAAAAGGGGTTCTATTGCTTGCTTCATTTATGGCACCCCTAAAGGTTCTATATAAACCCTTTTGTAGGGTTTTTGATCAGAACCCCGGGGGTTATTCTTCACTGAACCAAAAGTGGTTCCATATAGAATCCTTCGGTTCCATATAGGGTTCTATATGAAACCAATTTCGGTGATTTATTTAACAATAAGGGGTGCCATATATGAAGCAAGCATAGAAACCTTTTTGATTCTATCCAGAACCTTTTTTTTCTAAGAGTGTACACCATATAGCCTACCTTTCAAGCAAGCATGCGAATTTCTGAGGGTTATCTATTTTTGTTTTTGCATTCATGTAAATTGTAAGTTATTTCACTGGAATCAAACATTCACTGGAATCACAGCATAATTAGTAACACCTCATTTCTGCTAAGTCTGAACAAACTAAACATATTCCATACAGCATAGGGCTACCGAGATAGAATTTCATCAAAATGTAAAATCTATATGTATGCCTACGGGAACGCAATATTTCACTCAATTAATGATGAATTAAATAATTTCATTTAGATGCACCTGTATTTGTAAAGAAAAATCAGTTAAGAGAAGTTGTTTCGCAAGAAAAATGATTTAAAGGTTTTATTTGTAAACATTAAATATCTCTTTCTCTCTAAACGTTTGGAATTCGGCACCGAATGCATTGCAATAGCCTACTCAAATACACCATGAAGGCAAAGGATGTACCGCACACTTATTTATATTTTATATAGGACGAATTTTTCATTTTCAAATGTGTAAAATTATAACAATCTAAACGTCTATAAGACATAAAACATAGACAACGTGCTCAGCATTAATTATGATGGTTTGAAATCATTTAAATTGCTCCATGCTTAATGTAGCTTTTGGCAACAAAATAATAAATATATAAACGTTTATATTCAACAGCAACAAATACTTACAACACATACAAACAAGGAATGTCTGACAGTTTTACAAACACCATGGATCCCTTTTTATCTATACAGATGGAGATACTTTTTCACATATGCGTCATACATAAAAGGTGTGCCAGTACTACGAATCTTTATAAAATCTAGCAGACTACATAGTGTCCGGTATATAATGTATAATATAGACATGTCTCCTCGACAGCCAGTGCCTATAAAACCTACAACATGCGTTGTCTTTTCGAAATACTTTCGTACCTCTGGGATCCTGACAGAAACACATATAGGCACAAGTCATAAAAGTAAAATGAAATTTTGTCATTAACAAACTTTTTACAAGTGTTATAAATTGACGATTTGGACGCATCACATAATCTATCATATATGTGTATATATAAATGGAATATATTACATCTCAGTATGCGTTATCAATGGAGCAGATGTTTAGTCAACAATAAGGAATAAGAATTGCAAGAAAGTTTTTAACTTTGTCGAGAATTGTCCATATTAAGTCAAGAGAAGCCTTGGAGACTTTCCCCTCTGTGGGGTCGATCATTGGCTACTCACAACATTTCTGGCAATTACATTTAAAAAATCGAACATCAGTGGATTTTCTGAACCCAATTTTCACACTCTTCTTTATATCTATTTCGTGGATCCTTGATCAGAATGTAGGGGATTGTACTATGGAGCTTGCAAATATTCGGAGATAACATCTTTAAAATCTGTTAGGCTGACTCAAACAGAGTCTGTGGAAGTTCTTTGAGGGCTCGTCAAAAGTCCGTTTTAAAGTCAATTTAAAAAGGTAGAGTGTCAAGGAAAAGTTTGTCAATTATTGCTGGCGGAGGAACCAAGTCTTCCAGTTTTAAGTAGAAGATACGTTGCAGACCTTGTGTACATAGGGTGCGAAGTTCAGGGAGCTTTCCCAAAAGTTTTGACAAGTAGTTCGGACGATTCAAGCCTCCGCCATTAAATGTCACTTGGTCTTTAAGGCAGTTCACTATCTTGTTTTGAAGTTCTTCAATCCTCTTGGGTTCCTTAAGCCCATGCCTCTCTGTAATGTGAAAATAATAAAACATAATTACCAAAAGGTGAATATAAGAAATGCATTTAAACAGTGTAACATTTGGGAGAGTGATTAAATTGAAGTATATCCTATTTGCGCACCTGTTACCATGGCAAGAGCGGCGATGCAGGAGAATGCTGATATGTCGATGTTCATGCTCTGCAGGTTAGAGGAAAACTCCATAATCGAGTCTATCCATTCCCCAAATCCCCGGACGCACTGCAGCCTGTGTAAGACCACCCCATTGCAAAAAATGAGTTTGCCTTCCACTGGGTTGGACCTGCAATTAATAACAAAGTGTCATTAATTACCTTGAGCAATACATTGGGATTTAAGAGGTTCCTAATTATTGGGTAGCTAATAAAAGCCAAAACAGCGGAGCTTGAAGGGGGCTGATCTTTATTATAGTCGAGGTTATTTAATAATTAAGAAGAGGCTTACCTGTATGCCAGCCGCAGAACAAAAAGTTCCAGGAAGGCTGATTCGAAGAGGAGATCCTGATCCTGTTTCGGAAGATCAGAAAACCCAGGGATCTTCTCCGCCCAACCTCGGATTATCTCCATGGAACCCGTCAGGAGATCATAGAACTGCTGGATGTGCTGGGTGTCGTCTCCAGTCATTTGGTAGTCAGGGTTAGCCTGAAACTAGAATTTAATTTCAACAGGGCTTAATGAGGTCCTTTAAAATATATAACCCGTGAAATTGCAAAGCCTATTTCTAGGACGGGAGTGCTTTTTTACTATTACATTAATGTCTTCTTTTTATTGAGTTCTCCGTTTCAAAGTAATTTACTTAAGTAAAATATGCCACCTGAAAAGACTGACAAAGTTTAGAATGCAGACCTGTCTTGCACAAAACATTTGAAGTTGTAGTCTGGCAAATGCACATCCAAACAGGATCAAATACATCCAGACATGCACTGCTTTGTACAAACGTTGTATTTTTACTCTAATTATATTATAAATCAGCAGCACATTGTTTATGTTCATACACAATTTGTTAAAGGGAATTCAATGGTAAACTCACTCTTGAGTAGTCCAAGACAGACATGGACGGGTTGGAATCGACATGAGCCCTAACAAGGGCACTTATGAGACTGACAGGTGGCGAGGGTGGTGAGGGGTCTTGGGGACTTTTAGGTTTGGAGGGAAGACGACCTCTTCGACCTTTTAGATTAGCAGTCCGGACAACTGTGTTGAGAGGAAGACAAGAGAAAATATAGACTTGTATTTAACTTTAATTGTTGTGCGTAAAAGGTTCAACTTGCTTTACGCGCAAATTTTACGCGCAGGACCGCAGGTGTTTTATGGCCATGCATGGACACAAACAATCAAAGTGACCATAATATGTCCTTACCCTCTTTCACCATTCCGACAACCATGCACTTCTGGAAACGGCAGTATTGGCAACGGTTTCTTCGGCGTTTATCGACAGGACAATTTTTGTTCGCTAAACACACATATTTAGCATTTTTCTGAACAGTGCGCTGCAAAGAAAAAGACAACAGGCTTTTAGCATGGACATCAGTGCCTGTACAATGAATACACAGTTGGCACACATTCAGCTGCGCTATGGAGGATAATTGATATTGTAACAGAACATTAATCCTTCCAGTTTTGGACTGTTATATATGCGAGGAACCAGAGAGGTAGACATTCAGTAAATACAAATCCGTGGGCATTCATATTTGTACGGCCCTCTGAGACGAACTCTATTGAAAGATGTAAGATTAGGCTATTTAATTGGGGGTTGGAAATGAAATGACCATTCAATTTTACCATGGGGAATATTGCACTTCCTAGTCCAGACAAGACTGTCATTTCACAAAAAGAGCTCACAACACTAACAGTTTTAAATGACGTGATGAAAATTATATCCAAATGTTATTATAGTTGTCATAATTGTTAACTAGGCCTAGTCCCTCCACTAATAATAAGGGGAATATTAAAATAACAATACTACAATTATCTGACAAAAATAACAGGACTAATAATACAATTAATAATTGTAATAATTGAATTAGGCTACATAATTCACAATCAACGAATGCCCACCTTAAAAAATCCTTTGCAACCCTCGCAGGTTCTCACTCCATAATGCTGGCAAGCGGCGTTGTCCCCACACACTGCGCACAGACCCTCGTTTGATGGTGATCCTCGGGACGCGGGCGAATGAACTTGGCTGTCCATCAACTGGTGTCCATGGCCGAGCTGAAGGGAGTGAGGGAAGGCTAAGCCGGCCTGTTTCCTTAGAGCACTGGGTACCGCGAAGCTCTGGCTGTCTAAGCCTCGGTGTGCCCCTGGGTTGTCGTGGTTCATGGAGACATGCAGTGGGCCATCGAATCGCATCTGGCAACTCGACACAGGGGTACCAGGAGGGGACTGTTTGAATGAGAATAGTGACAGCCTTGACACCGGGTTTTTGCGCTGCTCTATCATATGAGAGGTCGCTGCCACATAGTTCTGGTGGAAACTGTGGAGAGACCCAGGGTCCTCCCACATGTGATTGGGCTGAACCTGGAAGTTTGGTGTGGTTGGGGCATGAGGTGAGGAGGGTTTGAAGTACATAGAGCCGGAGTGGGCCATCATCTCTTCCGACTGAGGTGGCAAATGGCTCTGCTGATGATAGCTGTGCATCTGGACGTCCTCGACTTTGATTGAGGACTGCTCTCCAGAATGGGACATTTGATATAGACAGGGCGGTTTAACGTCGTAACTGGTGCTATAGTTGTCCATGAATGTACTGAAACTAGGGAGAGAAGTAGTAGCTGTGATCTCAGTGTTGGTCAGGTCCATACTAAACTTAACAAACTCAGGTGTTAAGAAGTCGCAGCTGTATTCTCCAGCGGTGTGGTAGCTGTAGCTCTGCGAAGCGGGGCTGGCTCCTTGCGGTGATGACCCATACTGAGCCTGAACGCAGGGCATGGCTGAAAACGAAAGGGGCAAAATGTTCATGTTCAAATCCATTTGCAAGCTACAAAGTATAGACATGCCAAATCATCTACAAAATAACAATTATTAGAAACAATTCTGATCCGGATCTGATCTGATGTTCAGATAACTTATTGAAGTTGCATGTTTTACACGGACTATCGGAATAATAGTGAACTACGAGATTGATTCATAATCATTCTTTATTATAGACTGTAGAATAAGCTTTCCTACCTTGAGTCTTTGGACTGTTTTTCGGTGACACTTGAAATGGATAATGTTGTCTGGAGGTGTATGGGGTCAGGATTCAAGAAAGTGTGTTTTTTCTGGAATCGTCCCCTAATGAAATAGATACATTTAACTTATATTCATCTAGAAAACGCAATGCCATCAGATAAGTCAATGCTCCATCAATCCATGAGAAACAAGTTAGGCAATTAATAAGCACAATATTCCGACATGTTCACTATGCTTTTACTTATGTTTGCCTCATAGCCTACAGTATAGCCTAAATGACAAAAGGTACATTATAAAACCATATGGATGAGCTTTAAAATCACACAGTGCTTCGTAGTTGCCCGTTATAGGCTATACACACGCATGACATTTTGAATGAAGAAATTAGAAGTTTATATGTCGCTGAACAGCCACCCTCGACCGCACTGTCATCAATGACTTTCTCAACTTCTCCTTTCCAAAGTAATGTTGCACAGTCAATGTAAAATGTAACAATTCTCAATCCGTAAGTACCATTCCAAATGTGCAAAGTAACAATTCTCAACATGACACAATATGTGAGAAATAAACTGTTACAGAAAAACTAATTTGATGCCTCCCAATCAATAAAAAAATAAAACAAAGATGTCACAACTAAATTCAGACACATAACGCTTATTAAAATAAACATAACGCTTATTAAAATAAACCAACCTACCTTCTTTCACATCAGAATCGTGGTTGTCAATCCATGCATAAAGCATGTAGATAGTGTTCTTCAATTCTGTAATAAGCTCCAAAGCGTGAGCGAGAGTACAGCCTACAATACCAACCAAGCAATCTGTATGACTTCGTGAGAGCACTGCGCGCGATACAACCTTCGACTACCCGGTCTGCCAATGTGCATTTGTTTATGTGAGCTCTCGGCACCACAGCCCACGTGTTTCACATCTCAACGTCATCTGCGTCGCCAGTGACATGCACCAATCCCTTTTGGAACATGGTCCAGCCAAGATGCTGAGTCCGTTGCATAGCCTGTGTATATGTGCACCTGAGACTGCTCTCCTTATGGATTGTATACCATAAAAAGTATTGGAAAACCTTATTTCTACGTGGAAATCGCGTTATTTAACAAACATTTGAATATTTATATTCAAGTAAAGCTTTCCTGTGTAATTTTGTTTAGACTGAGCGTATCACCTGTTCATGCTGCACATCATTATCATCCTTAGCCTCAACCAGGTGTCTCATCTTAGGTGTTTCGAAGCAGCAGCAGCAATGTGTTCAAATAGCCTAGGAAAGACGCACAGCAGGCCACAGAGGTTTACACGAATTTGACAGGTAAAGCTCTGCTGCAATGTGCGAGTATGTGTCAGTCTAAAGCACAGTAGCCTATAAGCAGTTTTTGACAAGTGGAATATTTGCTCAACATTCAATAATGTTTGAGTGGCTGTGATTTGTTTATCCATGCATGTCGTAATCAGCCTGTAGTGGCCTCCAGAGCGGTTCACCACTTTGTTTGGTTAAATAATGGACGGTGGGTCAATATTATTTCTGTCTATCTTTCAAATCAACTAGTAGATTTCAATTGGACTCCAAATTTAGACCTCATAATCGAGTGGGTGTGTGGCCTAGTCTTTTCACATGCCGTCAGTCATGTTCTCTGCTGCTCATGAGCAGACTATAGGGTGGGCAGGGCTCATTATTAAGTGTGGAGAGCCAATTCTTATGGCTGAGCCAATTTAATCGAGAAAGGGAAACGCGATAGGGAGAGCACATAATGGAGAGTGACGCAGAAAACGCAGGCTTTGACGCAGTCAACAGACCTCCAGAAATAGTACTGCCCATATTGTTCTTGTATTGTAACAATATTACTGGTCTTTAGTTTACACCTGCACGTGTATCCTCTATGGGCCTACTCACTTTTTCCACGACTGTTTATTTTAATAGCATGGATCTGCCACAGAGGCTAATGATAGGGTGTGAATATTCTAAGACAAATTTATGCAGCATTGGAAGAAAAATTAGTTGGCCTAGGCCAACAATTCAATTGTCTAATACTTGCCTATTTGTTAATTGAAGTTCATATTTCCATGGAATTATGAACACACATAGTCCATGATCAGTGAGCTCTGTCTCTATCCCATATAGTCATAAAGTAGTAATAACTAGTGGACAGTGGAGAGAGAACCCTAACAACACTTCATTGTTGCACTCACCTCTAGAGGACACTATTGTTCATCACCCATAGATCATCCAATCCCTATTTACCTCTGACTTGAATGAACTAAGGCCAGAGCAGTACACTTTAGGAGCATATAAAATCACCCATACTGACATGGAAAATGAAATGTTTTGTAAAAGCAGACTTCACTGTATACTTGCTTAGTGGAATTTCAGAAGTTGTTAGCCTAGGCCTAGATCCTGAATGAGACTAGGTTAGTAAAATCAATGTTTTTTAAACAGTGTTGTATTTGCATGAAGTGCTTGGAAAAACTGGATGGTGTCTACCTCTTATTCAATCTACCCTCTGAGAAAGTAGATGGCCATATTATGTGTTCAAAACAGAATAAGAAAATGCCTCCTATCTTTGTTGTAGGCCTAATGTGCATCAGTTACAGTGAATTACAGGTTTTCTTGTATGGTGAGTCAATTGTAAAGTTTCTCAAATTGTCATAGGCTTGGCATCCTATAGGTCTTAGTGACCATACAAAATGGGAGCATTTCAGGTTTTGCGTATACATACAGATACTCCCATATTATTATACATTGTCATTTAAAAAAATAAAGGACTGATTTGACCCTTTTACCCAATGCAACTTAGTTTATTAGCATATAACAACAAGCACGTTTTATTTGCCTAACAAGGATGAGTAATACAGTCCAACAACTTTATCCTGAAAGTCTGAGTTGTTACTGTACATTATTAGCCTACTGTTATCCATTTACCAATTAAAGTTTAGAATGAAAATACAATTAGCAGTTTAATTGCCCATTTTACTGTAGAATAACGAAGTACCTCATTTATATGCACAATTAATTGACAATCATTTGGACGTGGGGTGCTAATCATATATAATCAAATCAGAGCAAAGATATTTCCCCCAAAATATATTTATCTGTGGTAGATGGAATTCAGACTGATATTGCCAATCACGGTCAAATGTGCGTGTGTGTGTGTGTGTGTGTGGGGGGGGGGGGGTATGTGCATGCATGTGTGAGCGTACTCGAGTGCATGAGTGGGTTCTGTCCATAGACGGACTGTAAAACATTTTTGCTGTCCATGGGGCTGAAAATGGTGTGTTTTGTTGTCATAGACAGTAAAAAATAAAATAAAAAGTGATCTGTCCAAGGTGCTGAAATAAGTGCTGTCCAAGAACCATCATGACTGCTTATGGACCGATGATTTATAAATACACTATAAAATGCCTAACAGGGGGCGCTGTTTTGAAGCCACCGTGCCTCCATCTTGGCATTCCCCCACGTTGTAAAAAATATTTTCGAAGCTATATACATGCATTTACTAATGTGTACATTTCTTTTTGCCACGTTTATTATGCATACTTTTAAATTAAACATTAAAATAAATCATGAAAAAATATACAAAAACATTTTCCTTAAAGTATAATTATAAGTACTAATAAGTACTAATGTTACTGTCCCCACTACAACAACAAAAATACTTAAATACATGTAATTTTGTCCTTGAAACATTTAAATGAAATACTGTAGAATTCCATTAATTCCTATGGAGGACTATATGGCCGACCGGTGGCTTCAAAGCCTCTCCATGGCCAAAACATAGCATAACTATCCAGGGTTTATATACATCATTGTTATGGACAGGGCACACTAGCCCTGACAAGGTCACCATCTGATAAACCGGCCTCTGCCACAAATAGACCACTGCGCAAGGGTTGCCCAGTTTAGCTCCAAGATAAAATATGCTCGATAATGATTGGACAAGACTCTCTTATCTCTATTTTAATTGGTTTACTGTGATGTTCATCATATTAATCTACTTCCTGGTTCGACTGCCAATAGGTTGTTGCTAGCAACCAGACGCCTACCGGGCTGTCAAGTTGTTGTTTTCATGCTCTGCAGTCATTGATCCTGAGGTCTGTGCAGGTTGATAGCTGCCAGAGACATCGGAAGAACTGTAAGTCCCCGGCATACATGTCAGAATGCACCCAGAGATTCTGAGCCATCTTCTTTTGCATGCATTATGAACCTGTGGTTTTCTCTTGATAACTCTGGCTACCGTAGCCAGCTCAGCTAACATTTAGTAGGCTACGAGGTGACGACTTATGTCTGTCAAGATGTCATTGCACTTAGCTAGAGCTAACGTTAGTTAGGGAGATTGAATTCGCTAGAGTAGAAATACTACTCAAGTAGGCTAGCTACAGCAACTGCCCTGTCATAACAACCATGTCAGTGCTAAATAATAGCTAGCTAGATAAACCATTTGTTTATAATGGATAGCTAGCTAGTAGCCTAACTAACCAGACACTATCCGTGGACCAAAGCTAGCTAAATTGATAATGATGATAATGGACTGCTTCTCTATAGCAGGCCTACATTTACTAGCTAGTATGGAAATGCCTGGATGTCCAGTCCACCCAGAATGATACACAGGTCAGGTTGCGCAGAGATGTAGGCTAGCAATATTGAAATATACATTGTTTTTGGCTACAGTACACAAGTTGCAACTTGCTCATGCAACTCATGAGTAGGTGGGTCATTCACTTTTGAGAAGTGTAACTTGGTGAAAAAAAGTTAATAGACTAATAAATGCCTATTAAAGCGCAACTGAAGGCAATAAACAACTTCTCTGATAGAAAGTGTTTATTTTAGTGTCAAAAATTGACAACAAAGTGTAAATAGGATAATTTTGTTCATAAAGTCAGTCTCGTCCAAAGTTTTGTAAGTGAGTTCATCATGACTTACTTGAGGGTTGGGTTTTGAATTCGACAATGCTCACTTGCCCAGTGCCACTAACACGGGATAAACAGCTACAGGGATTGCCTCTATCCAATCCTACAACAAATCAAATCAAATCAAATCAAATTTTATTGGTCACATGCGCCGAATACAACAGGTGCAGACATTACAGTGAAATGCTTACTTACAGCCCTTAACCAACAGTGCATTTATTTTAAACAAAAAAAAGTAAAAATAAAACAACAACAAAAAAAGTGTTGAGAAAAAAAAGAGCAGAAGTAAAATAAAGTGACAGTAGGGAGGCTATATATACAGGGGGGTACCGTTGCAGAGTCAATGTGCGGGGGCACCGGCTAGTTTAGGTAGTTGAGGTAATATATACATGTGGGTAGAGTTAAAGTGACTATGCATAAATACTTAACAGAGTAGCAGCAGCGTAAAAAGGATGGGGTGGGGGGGCAGTGCAAATAGTCCGGGTAGCCATGATTAGCTGTTCAGGAGTCTTATGGCTTGGGGGTAGAAGCTGTTGAGAAGTCTTTTGGACCTAGACTTGGCACTCCGGTACCGCTTGCCGTGCGGTAGCAGAGAGAACAGTCTATGACTAGGGTGGCTGGAGTCTTTGACAATTTTGAGGGCCTTCCTCTGACACCGCCTGGTATAGAGGTCCTGGATGGCAGGAAGCTTTGCCCCAGTGATGTACTGGGCCGTACGCAGAACACACAGACAGTGAGACACACCAGCCCATCAGCGCAGTGGATCTGACTTTGTTTACATACATTAAGACAAGATGCAATTTTTCAACTTGAGAAATACTACACCAAACACCTTACAGTGAGGGAAAAATATATTTGATCCCCTGCTGATTTTGTACATTTGCCCACTGACAAAGAAATTATCAGTCTATAATTTTAATGGTAGGT